GATTAACATCAAATAAAAACTGTCCATTCATTGATTATCCTCCTGATGTGCCATTATATGTCGGAATGGCATCCTTTCCTGCAAGTTTCTATAGCAAATAATGTTTTACGGAGAAAGGGGGGGGGGGGGGGGGGGGCTTTCCCTCTCCCTTTCTCATCCGGGCTTGGGGCCGGCAATTTCAGAGATAGAAAAACTGCGGAAAGAGACGTTTCTGGAAAACCTCTACACCCCAAGAAAAAAGAGGATCGAGTGAGAATGCACCGAGCTGTCTTGAGTGGACAATAGAAAAAGTATGGTGCTTTCAACATGTTAATCCCCATTGTCCAATTATCAGCATCATAATCTTCATTAAGTGCTCTGCCGTGGGTGATCATGCATCTCCACAATTTGCGATCTTTAACAGCATGTAACAGTCCGGGTGCCGACGCCCATCCAACCAAAAAAAAAAAAAAAAAAAAAATCTTTTCGCGTTATGTTCTCTATCTTTTTTCCTCTTTTTTTTCCGCAGATGTATCCTCTGGTCAAAGCATAATACAGTGTTCCCCATTTCTCATAACGTGACTAAAATTTAATGACCGTCTCTTTCTTATGTTTATAGTAAGTTGTCGCTGAGCTCTCGCCTCTTTTAAAACATATAGGCTGCTCTTTATGCTCCTAAACCACCTAGCTCCCTTCCCAAATAAATTCTACTGATTCTCCTGTAAAACTACATCCCCGAAGCCTCTAATAATAAGGAAACTGCTTGGTCTTAAGGCATGATGTCTGCCTCGAGTGCTAGAGGTTCCGGGTTCAATCCCAGGTAAGGGCTGGGATTTGTTGACGTGGACTTTTGACTTCTAGTAATTCTCCCTGGTCTCTGGGTAGTCAGATCAGACGACCGTGTGTTTTGTTCCGCACGTACAAAAACCCTTTGGCAGTTGGAAATCGAAAAGAGTAACCTAATGGCGCTGCCTGGGAAAAATTGGAGTTAAAAATCTACCGAAAATATTCCAGGATCCTCACCGCTGTAACAGAGCCTGTGCACTGTGCTGAGCTTCTTCGGACTCAGACTTGAGTTACAAGACGAACGGAACACCAATGGGTTACTTCCCATATGCCATGACATTGATTCGCTGTTCAAACCTCAAGGTTAGTTAAGTATCCTTTACAGGACGTTGCAAAACCAACCCAAACAGCCAGGGGCATATGGGAAGTAACCCATTGGTGTTCCGTTCGATGCAATTTACGTCCAGTAGTTTGCCATTGCTTTCTTGACAGTCGGCTTTCTTGGTTACACTTTCGAAACCAGCGCAAGGCGCATTGCCTGCAGCTGGGATCGAACCCGGCATCCCGGCATTATGAAGCGTTCGCATCGACTTAGTCACAGTGCCAACTCAAACCTCAAAGCCTTGTATTATTGTCTTGCTTGCGTGTCAAGTGCCCGGGATCCCCAGCCGTATGTCGAAGCTGGGTCTGTATCTCGTAGCGTGCGAGAATTATTCTCCTAACTTTCAGTAACATGATTTGATTTCATAAAATGTTCCTCCTGTGTGAGTTCTGGGGCCCTATTGTGTGTGTGTGGGGGGGGGGGGGGGGGGGGGGGGGGGGGGCTAAACAAGAATAGACCTACTGCCCCCCGAACAAGCAAGTCGTAAGTCAACTAATTGAGCGCTTCCTTCGAAGTTGGTGTGCCCCTGCCTGATAAACAAGGAACCAACAGTTTGCATATAAAATAAGTCAGATCTGTAAAACGGATGTGCGCGCTTCTCAGATTCTAGAACAAGAAACAAGTCTAGAGATGGACGACCAGTCAGAACTTTCTGCCAGGAGTTTGCAGCAGGTGATCGCGAAGATGAATAAGACAACAGGTTCTTCATTTTATTATAAAATGCCCTTTTAACCAGTCCTATCGTGTTCTTTATCTCTGTGATGCATCTTCTGTCGGATGTTATCCATGTGACTAGATATTTAAATTTATGTGTTTGTCCTAAAATAACGCCGAAATTATAATTTATAAACACCAGATACACTGACACCTGTACTCGTTAAACTTGCAATATGTCTCATACATCCGTTCTCATTACAAACAAAATTTCGTATATATATATATATTTTTATTTCTTTCATATATTCTTTAAACCGTTTCTGTTCTCACTCTGTGTTTTTTGCACATTCTTTTTCTTCTTTTCCTGCCCTTTATCCATCAGAGGCCCTTAACAAATTTACGACAAGTCGTCATATCCTTCACTATTGCATGCACCGCACCCCATGTCCTGCCTATAATTTTAATTGTATTATCCATCTGCTTTTAAACTGTGTTTTTGGTCTGCCTTTATTTCCATGCCCCCCTGTGGGTTCCAGTGCAAAGACGTTATAGTTATATCGTTTTCAGATTTTCTCAACCTGTGTTCTGTCCAACGCCAGCTTTATTCATTGAAATTTATTTTCTCCAGAGCTCAAAGCATGCATCTTTCCTGTGGCTACATACGGATGTGAGTCGTGGACTATCTCTCAGTCCTTAAGAAAGAGAATAGGGGCTTTTCAGCTGAAATCTATAGAAAGATTATCAGAGTATCTTGGACAAAGAAGAAGAGAAATATTGACATCTTAAAAGATCTGAACATCAAGGAAGATTGGCTAATAAACAGCATCCTTTCTCGAAAGCTGAAATATTCTGGTCACATCAAGCGCCACGAAGGATTGGAAAAAATTATAGCAGAAGGCATTGTACCAGAAAGGAGGGGCAGGGGCCGACCGACACGAAGATGGGCACAAGATATAAGTGACTCCTTGAGTGTGAAAGTGTATGAGACAGGAGAACTGGCGAGAGACCGCGTTTCTTTCAGGCAGACTGTGATGAGAGCGACGTTCTTCGAAGGACCTGCTACGTGATGAGCGCAGAAATAAAGACAGAAGAAAAACACGTGAAGAAGTAGGCTAAAAAAAAAAGTTGTTAAGATGGGAGGGACATGGGATAAGCTGCATGCATTAGCGAAGGATGGAGCGACTTGGCGTTATTTAGTCCATTGCCTGTGCTCCATCATCTGGGGATAGAAGGCAGATAAAGAAGAGGTTGGAGGTTTGAACAACAGATCAACATCATGGCAAACGGGTAGTAACCCATAAGTGCTCCGTTTTTCTTCTAACTCAAGTCTGAGTCTAAAAAAAAAAAAAAAAAAAGTGCATAAGCTCTGTATCACCGACGAGGATCCTGATAGACTTTGGGTAGATTTTTAGCTCCAAATTTTGCCCAGGCAGCCAGCGTCATAAGGCTACTCTTTTTGATTTCCAACTGCCAAGGATTTTTTACGTGCGCAACAATGCTAACGGTCGTCCGATCTAACTAACTAAAGACCACGGGGAATCACTAAAAGTTTAAATCAAAATGATATAATTTATTACCACCACCTGCCCTTCGCTCTCCAAAAAAAAAAAAACAAAAAAAAAATTAATTGATAATGTGAGAGTTTTCAAATACGTTTCTATATTTAATTTTAGTGTTTTTTTCTTCCTCAAAGTGTATGCTGTGTAGCGTTATCCTATGTTCACATCTTTTTGACACACACTGCGAATCATTTTTGATACTGATGATCCTCCGTGCCGGACTGTCACTAAAAACACCTGAAGCACAACTATGCTTTAGTCCGAGATTTTGCAACCGTGTTTGCGTCAAAGATTTGTTACTATCAGCCAGTCTAGTCCGTGTAACGTTGATGGAAGCTGCTCTGTCTATTCAGCGAGTGAGGTCGACAACATTACGCCGGCCACTTTACTTTCTATAAAATTCCCTGGTACTCGTTTTAGGTTGGACAGATATGGGAACCAAAATCAATGATTGAAAATCTACCCTGCAAGGATGTTAACCTACTTTGGGTCGACAAGCTTCGATAAATCGGTTGTCCCTCTGTGATGCTACCGGTTTGGTTTGCAGCCGTGAGATTAACACAATATATATATATATATATTCTGGATTGCAGACTGACAGGGCAACCCCAGATACTCTGTTCAACCTCAGACGAACTTAACTTCTTCTTTACGTTTACCAAATGTACACTGCGACTGATTATTTGTATGCAGACTGTTGGTTACTTGTCACTCAGGCAGATCGAAACAAGCTCCAAGTTGGTCGAATGGTACGGCATACTTGTTGGAGTCAGTGATATCAGTTGAATACTTTGAGCTTGTAATTTCCTTATCTCGGGTAGCAGTCTGTACCCAATTGAGTTATACCAAGAAAAGATATAAAACCAAACAAAAAGTATATTCACAGTTGAGTTATACACTCGTTGTATTTAGAGTATTGTGAAGTAGGTCTTTTCATGCCCTGTCCCATAACGGGGCCCGGAGCCCGCACGAGAAAATAAACTAATAATCGGTGCACCCGTGGCAGCAACTCTAGTCCGGTGCCGCCTGCAGACCTAAGCATGTAAAGACCATTTCACCCCTGCGAAGCTGTTAGGTTATATTAGCAACCCCGTCGATAACCGGAAATCGAGCATTAAAATAACAAAAAATGTGTTCTTTATTAGGGCTTCTGCTTCTTCGATCCTTTTGTCAGAAAACATATCAGGAGGCTGGTAGCTTTTATGAAAGCTATCGTGCAATTCATATCCTCTCGTGTACCATACAATTTTGTCTTCATTGTTGTTGGAACAGGCCTGATTGCGTCTCTGTTGTCAGCATACAGTTGACAGTGTTAGACACATGTTCAGCATTTTCGGGTGCCACGCTGCAGGGACACGTCTCCGTAAACTTCATTAGGACAATTCGTTACCAACAGATCCAATGTGATAACTCTGCAGATGTGAAACTGGTAGTTATCTCCCGCCGAGCGCTCTCCTGTGAAAAGAATCTGGCCCCGTAAACAAGAAGCTGCATGTTCGGTGGAATCATAAACTGGAAACAATCGATATTCGCTGGAAACAAATAAGTTTCTTCAATCATCCAAGTTTCGCATAGCTGGAATATCGCGTCGTGTAGACTATATACACCGTTTAAGGTAGATTCTAGTTGGTTATACAATGGCCGGGGTTTTGTTTGAGGACATTTTTGATGTGAAACATGTCGATCCTGACGGCAAAAAATTCGACAGAGGTGAGTGTCTTGTTGATATTTTGTGGCTTCTAAACATTTCCTTTATATTAATTGTTAAAAAAAAAGTTACCGATAAAGAAAAGAGCCTAATTAGCATAAGTAGAATTACGATAAGGGAATCAGTGGAACGTAAGTCGTAAGTGAAGAATGAAACTTTGGAAACATCTACATTAATAACGCAGTCATAAGTCTGTACAGAAACACGCGGGTCCACATAATATTATAATTTGTTAAGCTAAGTAAGCGGAGTGCAGTTCATGGCATGGTGTTCGACGTAGTTGCCTTTCAGTTCTATAATATATGCAGTTTTTAATTATTTCGACCTACCCGCGCTAAGAACAGGGGTGGGAAAGTTATGCTGGGTCGCAGTGCCACTTCCTTGGAAACGCTGACTTGCATATTTATCCTGCAGTGGTATATCTTGCGCTGGCCATTGATGGGCCAAATAGATCGTTTTGTTATAGCAACAGCAACAGCACACACACCTGACCAAAAGACAATAGATGTGCGATCGAAACAGCTAACTACCCGGCAAAGTTCAGCATGCTGTAACTTGCTTCTGTTCAGTCTCAACTATAAAAGGGAAAGTCCCATCCAGTCTTGAGCTGGTGGATGCAGACAGTTTAAATCCCAGCATTAATGAGGATGTTCATGTTGACTAGTATGGGTATTTTCTTCCCTTTCTGGTTGTTTACAGCTGTTTGTTCACGTCTGTTGACCAGAAGTTACAGCTTTTTCTTGGCTGGTTCACTGATGTCAAAAGTGGGTATTTCATTTAAATAAAAATCAAAGCCTTACTTCTTTTTTGTAAAGTATTTGTTGTATTTGAATGCAACTTTTACTGTATTGTGTGGCTAGTTACTTGATGACATCATTTGGTTCAGGTTTCTATGGGCAGTGAGTTTTATGATCAAGTGGATGAGGTGAATGGATAGTGAAATAAAATCTACATGTTGAAAGACTTATTCAGTCTGGGGTGAGTAGAAGGTCTTGATGAATTTAACACTTAGGGAAAACATGGGATCATGGGTGGACTGTGAATCAGGTTGCAACTCAGCAACTGGTACTGTTCTTAGCTTGATGGACTCTTTGTTGCCTACTAAAGAATAGGACTAAGCATGTATGGGAATGTCTCAAGTGCACTGATAACCATTCTTGATTCATATTCATTCATTCACAATGATAATGCAATCTTCAGTGTACTAGGGTTTATTTCCTGTGCTGAGCAGTTTAGTTTTAAGTAAAAGGATCATTCTCATGACTTTCAGTCAGAGGGTACGAGTCTCACTGTGGAAGAGATAGGGGCCTCACTACACAATATTTAAAAAGTGAGCAGTGTATACATTGTAGCCTCCATTGTGGAGATGGCACACTTTTTTGGGTGGTTCAAATTAATAGTGTTCCTCAGCAGGGATTCAGTAATTTATGTTTTTAGTGGCTCCAATGATTGGAAATAACAAGTCTTGCCTGAGTAACTTGTCACCAGTCAGTATAGCTTATCCTTTGCAGAACCTCGCTTGCATAACAACCCTCTGGAAAACTTCTCGATCACAAGGAAGATGTCCCGCGTCCAATACACCCATCTGGAGATCATCCACCACATCCTGCACCCATCTTCTCTTTGGCCTTCCACTTCCCTCTCTTCACAGGCATATACCCTTCCATTGATTTTCTGTCTAAACTTTCATGACATTTTGAGTGACCAAAATATTTCAGTTTTCTGTGATTTATTATCTTTAAAAGCCAACATTCTTCAATTTTAAGTTCTTGAAGTATGGATGTATTTGTTCTTTTCTTTACCCATAATATTCTTAAAACCCGTCTAGAACATTTGTATACAAAGTCATTTATGCTCTTGTTTGGTAAGTATGCAGGTTGCACAGGCATATGTTGCAATGAGTAACATGTACAGCATTTTTTTCCATTCAATTTGTTATTTAAAGCATTTTCCCATTTGTATGCATTTTCAAGCCATTTATATTAATGTTGGTGTTGACTTTTGGCAGAATTTTCATAGCCTTCAAGTAAACTTCAGATTACTTTTACTTTCTGTTGTGCTTGCCCTTAAAAGTGGTTGACAGAATGTGTTGCAGCTCACAGCTAGGCTGTGATGTCTGTATCTTTCGTTTAACATATCCCATAATAGCAAAATTAGTTGCTTTAATGTACATGATACTTGTTACATGGACATCAAGTCTTCCTCCACCCAATGGGTACCCCAGAACCCACATGGGCGACTTATCAGGGCTAATAATAAAAAAGATAAAAGCACTTGGTCTGGAGAAAGCATTGGGTATCATGGCAGTCTCTTGAATCATCACAGTCTTCTGATATTGATGCAGTTAATTTTGCTTACTTTATTGTTTGTTGCCCATCTGCTTTCATCGTGTGAGCGTTTTAAAAAAGAATGGACCATGAACCCGTGAGGATTTCCAGGTGGAAAGTCTTTTTTTAAAAATAAACATCTCTAACATATTTTGTAATCTACATTTTAAATTTGTTCTTGGAAATATATAAAGGGGTAATAAATAAACACACAAAATGAGTGAAGCATTAAATATAAAAAAAAAGCATTTCATGAGGCCTAAAAAAACGTATTGTGTGACTAATGTCATAACCATGTGATCTCTACCACTGAGGCTTATAGGAAAATGTGAGATCAACTTGACTTTCGACAAGCCATTGCGGTTATAAGGAAACCCTCCTAAATGCTGTTGTTAGTTACTATATTCATATCCTTGCATCTTAAACACTGCACACATGGAAAAAGGGCAAGTGGAATTTAACTTTGCTTGTTGAGAACAGATTACTGCATATCTTCTTCTTCTTCAGCGATCTCTGGTCATGCGCATAATCCACTGTGGGTCATAAACTGGGATGTCTTTTCAAGGTCTCTTAAGTTTCCCCAAAGCTTAGTTGTCAGTTCTACTGGGTGTTGCCATATGTCGCTCCGCAGCTCCGCCAGGAGAGGACAGTCTTGCAGGACATGTTCTGGAGTCTGTTCAGAACAAAGGCACCGGCAGAGAGCTGTTTGGCTCATACCTAATTTATGTGAGTGTTTATTGAGTCTGCAGTGTCCAGTGCGTAAGCGAAAAACTGTGACTTGGTCTGTTCTGTTCAAGTGTTTCAGAAAATCTTTTTCGTAGTTATAACCAGTGTTGGTTTTCCAATCTGTTTCTGATTTTCTCTTAATGAGAGTTTTGACTTCTGGAAAATTACTGCATATAAAGCCATTTATTATCTGCATTTATGTGGATGTGTCACAACCCAAAGTGTCTAGATTCAGGCTTCTCGATGTGAAACGGTTAAGCTTTCCACATACATCTTTCTCTGTCTTCCACTACATTTCTTGGCTAGTATTTTTTTTACAAAAAGCTAATATCTCTTTTGTTGATATGTCATTATATACATTTCTAGTCTGTTCAGTGCGGTTTCAATGTTTCATTTGTGTATCGGATAATATTTCTCAGTTCATTAATTTATTCTCCTGTTATATGGCATAATGTGTCACATAGGTCTGCAGTCTGTTTCTCCATTCTGTTTTACCCTGTGCAGTATCATGGATGGAATCCACTCCGGCACATTTGGCTTCTCTCATCAACATTCACTTCAAAGTTTCTTTTGGACACCTTCGTTTCCTCAGACCTTCAATTTCCCATTTCAGTTAGGTGATTCTCTGTTCGTTTATTCTCAGAATGTGTCCAATATAACGCAGTCTTTCCTGTCTTATAACTACTGACACCAGTGGTTGCCCAGACATTTCTCTTATTTCTTCACCCCTCTTGAATTCATTCCATTTTATGTTTAAGGCATTTGTTTTTGGATGAATTTTACTTTTATTTAGTGTTGCCACTTTTCTTTGACAAAAAACATACAAAACGGAGTAAAAAATATCTTAAAACATCCAAATGGCAAAAGTCACAAATTACATAGCAATTAATATGACTTACCCTATAGAATCATGTCCTCATCTTTACTGAAGTCTGCCTTACAAGATCTATAGGATAAACTTAGCTTGGATGATGAAGTTGAAGCTTCAGATCCAAAATGACTCTGTTATGCTTTAGCTGTTCAAATTTCTTTCAATACCCATCAGGTAGCTGATAAGTGGAACAGCCTTTTCCTACTCTTATCAGGCCGAATTTTACTGTCAAGATAGCATTTAAAATGTCCAATTTCATCCTGTTTCTCAGGTTAGATTTGATAAATTCACTCCAAACGAAAAACATCTAGCAAAAACATCTACCACCTAAACGTCAAAAACGCCATCTAAATGCAAGGAAAAACATCTAAATCTGGATGTAAAACATCCAAAGTGGCAACGCTGCTTTTATTCTATGTCTTCGGTAGTTCTCCAACTTTCACAATGTTTCCAGGTGTTCAAACACTATTTCTCCACATTCCAGTAATTTCATTGTCTTGCAGTAATCCATTATGTGTGCCTGGATTTTACTCATTAGTGCAAGTCGACATCTTATGTATGTTTGCAAATCATGCATTTAGTCTGGCCCACCCTCTGACTTATATTTTTATAGACCAATCGGCACTTGGTGGGTGATGTGGTCAGCATCACGTCGGCCGCCTTCGCTTCCCAGGACTGCACCTGGTAACCTGAGAGTTAAAGGAAGGCAAAATTATCGAAGCATTCAGTGGAAGGGAAACTGCTTCTGAAGATCAAAAGCCCTCTGTTATATTTTCTGGCCATAAAGTTCCTATCATTTCTTATTTCACCACATCGGACTAAAAGTGCGTGGCATTTTTACACTGACAGCACAGTTTTCATCATCTGAGCATCGCTCTCCCTTTTCCCTTAAAAAGGATCTAGAAATAAGCTTGAGAATAGAACAATAATATATGTATAGCCACATATACAAACTACAGCGGTACACTGTCAGATGAGACAGATGTGGTGATCTTCACAGACGGGTCAGTTATACGAGGACATAAGAGTGCATGGGCATTTACAGCTCGCTGTTCAGGCAGAACAGTTCAGGAAGCTA